TCTGATTTAGTGAAGATAAGAAAGAAGAAGAAGAAAAGATGTGGTTGTATTGTCATAATTCTAAAGTCCCGAATATTTTAACTGTGATTATTTTAACATTGCTATAACAACATAAAATCCTGTGTGATGTTGGTCTCTACAAGAGGTGGCCATTCATTCCAGTTTAGAAAAGATCAGGACAAGCCATTTCACAAAAGTCGGGTCTTTCAGAGAAGTTGTTTATCATCAGATGGCTCTAGGAAGGTTTGATTTATATATAATCCACCTAATGTATCTTGGGGGGGGGGGGGGGGGGGGGGGGAAATATTGTACCTCACAAATGGTTTGCCCCTGGACCCCAGTCACCTTCTTTTAAAACCTATACTTGAGAGGAACTCTGAACCTCAGACAGCATCAAACAACACTAAAAAGATTTAGAACAGGCCATCTCAAGCCATTGAAGATAGAAAATAAAAACAAAATCTACCCCACTTGCCCAAAATGTAACTTACACCTGCAGCTCCAGAACACATTTTGGCTTGCATTAGATGCACTAAGCAGGACCTTTGAGAGAGGCCGCTGCTTATCAAAAAATAACTCTAGAGCATGAACTCATGGAATTTGTATGATCTTTAAACAAGGGGATAAGAAATAACAACCTATGCTTGAAAGTATAAATCATAGTACATGCTCTCGCTCTATTCCACCCAGATTTCTTGAATATTTATTTTATACTTTTACATACTCTCTCTCTTGGCTATTTCTTGTAGCCTTCTAATCAGTGCATATTTTTCCATCTGAGGCATATATATAATTTTTATATAATATCAACAGTTAACACATCGGATTACAGACCAGAAGATTCAAAGTTATTCTAGCAGGCTCGTTTAAAAAAAAAAAAAAGACATAGGGCTATCTCCTATAATGTATTTTCATAACCTAAGTGGTTTTGCCAGTCCTCAAAAAAGTATGTACTGTAGTAAAAAAATATTTGACAGTAACCAATTTGGAATGGGGACAAATATAGATATAACTGATATGCAAATATATTATTAAAAATATAATGAAGTTATGCAATTATAATAAAGCACAATTTGGGTTATAGATTATAGATACAAGAAAATAAGACCTAATCCAAATAATTTAATAGTGTGTGACGTTTCGGCAACAGCGTTGTTACCATCATCAGACAAAAGAATAAATCATAATCATTTATTTTTTTGTCTGATGTGATGGTAACAATGCTGTTACCAAAATTTCACACAATATTAAATTATTTGGATTAGGTCTTATTTTATTGTATTATGCAATTATAATAAAGCACAATTTGGATTATAGATACAAGAAAATAAGACTTAATTTAAATAATATAATAGTATGTGACGTTTCAGTAACAGCATTGTTACCATCATCTATAACAAAAGAATAAATCATAATCATTTCTGTCTAATGATGGTAACAATGCTGTTACCGAAAGGTCACATACTATTAAATTATTTGAATTAAGTCTTATTTTCTTATATTTATGCAATTATATTAGTGACTGAATATATTATCTCTGTGAAAAGGGAAAAGAAAATAACAAAAGAGATAAAAAATACAGAACTTACCGTGATGGATCTGGAGAGAAGATTCTGGAACAGTCTCCTGGGTGACAAAGAACTCACAGTTGATCCTGGCGTTGGCTTTCATTAGCCTTAGGATCCTATCCTGCCACAGCAGCTCAGGTTGGAAAATGTTACGGTTGGCACAATGGTAGACACATAGGATTTACATAAAAATTCCTTGTCTACCATTTCTAAGACTCAATTAAATATATTGTTGTGTGTCAACAAGTAGCTGACCGACACGGGAGCAGTACAAATTATTTTAATTTTTGTTTATTTTTAATTAATTACTTATCAGATTAACGGCACCACAGAGAGGATGGGAGTAAATTGTATTTGACCATTGACCACCGTTTTTTGCGGCAATGTGTTAAATACAAAGGCAATGTGTTAAATAAAACGTGCCCATTATAAATTAATCTTTGTGCTATTTGGATTTCGACCTGGTGATTAGAATGTCCAGCTACAGCTCCATCCCCTCCTACAACCGGCCCGGCAAGACCCCGAACATCATGACCTTCCTTGACTGGACCATCAGCCCAGCACTGCACCAAATAAACCTTCTGGGTATTACATCCCCGCCCATGTCTCATTACAATACGGTTAAACCTGTCTATAGCGTCCCCTCTTGGGACTCACCAAAATAGGGTGCTATAGAGAGGAGGTGCTATAGACAGGTCACTTTTAATGTAAAATGTTTACATTTTAATGTTTAAAATCGGGCGCTATAGAGAGGAAGGCGCTATTTAGAGGGGGTGCTATAGATAGGTTTAACTGTATTTTATGATTAGGTACAATTTGGATTATATATTATAAATACAAGGTAATAAGACCAAATCCAATTGAATAAATAGTGTGCAACATTTTGGTAACAACACTGAAATGTCACACACTATTTATTGATTTGGATTTGGTCTTATTACCTTGTGTTTATAATCTATAATACAAATTGTGCCTTATCATCAATGGCTATCATTCTATGAACAATTTGTAATAATTATTTTGAGAATATGTTCCTTATTACCTAAATATTTTCTCTACAGACCTTATGGCAATGTTTAAATTTTTATAAAAGAGAGGGCTTGGCTCATCAGTGGTGAACCCTCTGGAGATTAATTTGGTGAAACCGCTGAGAGAGTTCACTACTGATAAACCAAGCCCTCTCTCTCAACAATTTTAATTATAGCAGTAGGGTCTGTAGATACGTATAATTTGGGGGCAACTTGAGCAATTTCCAAACATACACACACAATGACTTGTGACTTAAAGAGATTATAACCCTAGTTGCTGTTATCATAATGAGGCTCCAATGTATACCATTTCAGACCAAAAACAGCATATCAACTCTCTCTACAACCAATATGTTCAAATTTTGATGAAGAAGGGAAGTTTCTGTAATTCCAATTTATTAAAAAAAAAGAGTGCAGCATCACAAACACCGTTAAGGCTAAAAATAATAAAACCATCATGGTGTTAAAACAATTGGAATTTTAGAATTATGTTGTTGTTGTTGCTTATTCCTCAAGTTGTTTAAACAATCTCCATTAGGTTCCATTGTTTAAGCTTTTCTATTAAAGTCCTGGGGTTTTCCCAGAGGTCTTTTTTGGAGGATTTGATACAAGATGTTCAGGACTGGCTGGTTGGGAATCGCATTTGGGGCATTTCAGGAATGTTTTGATTTTTGTTCGTACTTTTGTTCGTTATGTTCGTAATCTTGAAATCGCCGTTTGTTCTTCCCTAGTAAGGGTGTGGAAAGAAGATTCGTTAGGAATGGGGGTGTACCAGGGGTGGTTTAGAAGAGATTTCCAGAGAGAGGTTATTTTTTGTTTGTGGATGGAAGAAATTTCTGAATAGATTTTTGCTTCTCCATTTTAGAATTATATTGTGTTGTTGTTGTTTCTTATCCCCTTGTGCAAAGATTCTAGAATTCAATGAGTTCATGCTCCAGAATTACATTGTTACTAGAACATTAGCCCGTTGTATGAACAGGTCTAGAATGGCAACCAGTTCTTATTTTACTTTAATACAGCCCGCCCAGAAGTCCTCCTCTATGTGGAGGGCAGGAGAAGCAGCACAAGTAAGGGACTGCCCTGTAAGGCCAAGTACGGTGTCGTGAGCCCCGAGCCGCTACGGTAACCGTGAACTGGGAACTCTCAAATATGGCTGACTAACGGGGCAATGGCACTCCCCATTCCATGGAGCAGCAAAATCAGAAATTGACAATACGAATAAGGCACCTTTGTTGGCTGGTGTTGTGATCAGGGTGCACGGACCGATCTGATCTGCTCCATGGACAAGACACCACCACCTTGAAACAGCTAATAATCAAATGAGTGTAACTCTACCTAATGTAAATAAATACAAAAAAACAGGTTATTAAGAGATATTGTGTTTCATATTAACATGTATGTAGTTCTTTTTATCTATTCTATCAATTTATTGATATCTGCCACATCCAACAACCTCATTTTTATTTAATTCATATAAAGTTACTTTTAAATATAAAATTTGACTATTTCAGCATTTTCAACTTGCTCACTCACGATGAGAGTTCAATTATTTGGAATATTTTTTACTGGCTTATATTTTAAATGATATAGCCATTACCCATTTGTGGGTTTGGATGTGATTTGTTGTTGTTGTTTCTTATCCCCTTGTTCAAAGATTACATGAATTCCATGAGTTCATGATCTCATGGAATGGGGTATAGGTGTGCAGCTTTCGTTGATCATGGCACCATGATCCAGGCACACTTTGGTGAAAGTCTGATTTTGCCTGTAATTTGAGGCCGTTCCTAACATGGAATCCTTTGCTGCTGACTCTAACATGAGTACAGACACAGCTCCTCCGTATCCCTGGAGTGGGACCATTGCTGAGGTCCATCAACTGGGTCAGTTGAAGTCAGGATTTTTAAAGATGTGATTTAAATATAGTATGTATAATTATACTTAATGTGGATCAAGCTCCTTTTAAAACAATAAAACCTGAATTTTAGATAACGAGAGAGAGACGTGTCTTCTTCTTTCTTATCTCCACTCAATCATATTAGAGTATCAAGCTTGTAAAGCTTGTTGATGGTGTCTGCTGGGGAAGAGTAGAGCTCATCAATGGCTGAAAGACTTGTAAATATTTATTATAGTAAATTATATAATATATAATATGAGAGAGTATTTTTTTTTTTTTGCTTATCCCTAGTACACGTGGTACAGGCCATGATAATCATGGTGGGTAGTTAGCGACTGCTTTTTTACTGTAAGCGCACCACATGTCTACACATGTGAAAGCAGTTCGACTTTGCACTTACAAATGTGCCAGAGCCCTGTTTGGTTACTTGCACTCGCTGGTGGGGTTGGACTTTTGCAAGAATCGGGGGGCCATTGGAGCATTTTTTTTTTTTTTTTTAACAGAAAAAAGTGTCCAATGCGGGGATCGAACCCGGGTCGTAGTGGTCGTAAACCAAACAGTTTAACCAGCATTCCACCGACCCGTGAAACAAACAAACATCATACAATAAGAATTAGATCTATGAATACAATTGCCTATCTTTCTTAGACTCAGAATATCATCAAAAATTGCAATAACTCTCTATAGAGCTTTAGAACTATTTATATAAATATATTCTTGGTTTGTACTAATCAATACATTTATAAAATTCGAAGAAATATTTATTAAAGAATGTTGAGTTAAAGACGCAAATTTCTTTTAAATAAGAGCTTTTGATGGTCTACCGCATATTTAGGAGAAGTAAAACAAGTGTTTATTCACAACAATCCCTATATATATAAAAGTCAGTGTATGTATATATGTTTGTCGGTTATACACGTCCGCAATGTAACAAATCTGTCTGAAATTTTAACAGTATATAGAGTAGAATCTGAAAAAACTTATAGGCATATTTCTGGGCTTCTATCTCGAATATTCTTAAAGTTATTAACAAATTCTTAACAGATTTTCCCTATTTCACTCATAACCTGCGCCTCACTGCGGTACCTTCGAGAAGTAAAGTTGAGGAAGGATGGACCACGTGGGGCGACTGGGATTGGTGGAGCGGGACGTTTCACAAGAGTGACCTTGAGTGATGTAATGATGGCGTAGGGGCAAGAAATCACTTGCTACCATTCATGTATATATCAAATTAAAAATATATTCATATAAAAAAATCAAAATAATAAATGTCGCCTCTTTCATCAAAATATAGATGGTGTCTAGTTTTCATGTTTTTTAACAGGAGAGGCAACCTTGGTTTTATAAAAACAATAAGTGCCTGAAATACTAGGGATCTAATGGAATATTCATAATCCACCAAAGAGGTACAAATCCATTCACCCATAGAATAATCATGAAAGTTGACGATACAAAGAACCCAAAAATCGCATAAATACAATGATTTGTTATGATTTAAATACAGAGATTTGTTGTCCCCTGTGATAGTTGGCCGGTATCAGGAAGTTTGAAATTCATAGATTTAGAGGATATTTCTACTTATATGCTGATGTCGAATGGATGCTTCCCAAATTGGAAAGTGTTATAAGCGGGTTGTTTTATATTGGAAATGTAATTTTGGACCATTATAGAGAAGGTACAATAAGCGGAATGACACTAATAAATGGGATCATTAAAACGAAGTTTTATTGTAACTGAAATCTATGTAATTTGGTGTACTTAGGGTTTAAAAAGGAACAGCCATCTTTCCATAAAATGTCCAACTATAATATATTTCAACATGTGGTGTAAATAAATAAAACATATATTGCAGCCCTATACTCTGTATATTATTAAATACTATAGAAAACTATATATTTTCAGGATTATACAATATTACAAATTTAAAATCCTTTTTCACTACCTATGATACATATTACATAATATACCTGGAGGTTTACCTATATGTTTTAAGAAAATCCTATTATATTGATATATAAAATCATATTTTATAAGAGAAAGTATCCACAATTGCATTTTAAGAAAGTTACGCTATACATTGAATTAACTGAAGACAATTTAAAAGACACTAATATATCGAAAATGTATTTATATATTAGAGATGTATATATATAAAATATTAAATTTTAATTTAGTTTATTTCCACAGTGATATAGGACTGGGTGGAGAGGAGACGGTTGAGTAGATCTTTAAGAAAGAAACGGGAATTGGACGAGTGGCCATTTTGTCAGGATTGGACATTGGAGAAGAGGGCAGGCAGCTCCGACAGAGATCAGTTTCCAAGATGATGATGTGAGAAGTACATGGTTGTTAGGTTGATGGATGGTTGGTCAGAAGAGTCGGTCTTGGGGAAGTGGGATGAGGGATCGGTGAAGATAAGCTTGAATCCCAGTTGTACATCGGGAATATAGAGGGCATTGTTTCAACAGCAGCAAAAGTAATATATTGATTTTCAAGATCAAAGGTCAGGATCATGTTGCAGATTCTCAGCAGCAACAGCAAAGGACTTAGTTCCAGATACTCAATTGCAACAGCAATAGCTTTAGTTGCATATGTTCAAAGATAAGAAAAATCTTAAGATGAGTTTGATAAGCTTGCAACAGATCGAGGCTTAGTTCCAACTCTTCAGAAGTGCTCAGGTCATTTTGATCATAGATTTGGGAAATTTCAGAGGGTTCCAGATATTCAGCAACCACAGGAAGAGTTCCAGATGCTTAGCGTTGAAATCCATTTCTTGAGATCAATATTATCTCTTCAAGAGAAATTTCTTGGGTTCCAATTTGATCAAGGCGTTAAGCCAAGAGCATCATGAGCGTGGGAGCAGACTGCCTGACTACAGCTTCGAGGAGGAATAGTGGCCATTAGAATGGAAATGAGGTTGGCTAATAAGGGAGATGAATTTTGAAAAAAAAAAGCCAATCCTAAAAAATAATTTGATAAAAATGCCAATCCATAAAAAAGAATTTTGATAAACTGCCAATCAAATATATATAAAAATAATTTTGATATTCAAAAGCCAATGATATAAAAATAATTTTGATAGTAATGCCAATGCTTTAAAAAAATGAAAATAAAAAAAAAATAAAAAACTCTAAAAAAACTTCTCTCTAAAAAACTCTAAATAACCCCCCCTATATTCCCTAGCACTAAGATAAACCCCAACCCCCCATACCACTGTCCCCCCCCAACTGTGAAACTTATAGAAATAAAAAGGGTTAGTTATAAGCCACCAACTAAACCTAAACAACCTATCTAAAAAATGGTTAGTAAAAAAAACTAATCCGTAAACGCTAACCGAAATCAAAAGATAAAAAAAACCCACCCAAAAACAAAACACTAAAAACCCTGGAACTTTCATCTCCGTATTTAGCCTCTCTCAACTCAAGGAACTTTGCTTTAACTGTAACAATGGCATAGTGCTTGGTTACTATAGGCTGCCTTAAATATAGGAAATTTTATTTTTTTCCTTTCAATTATTTCTCAAATAGAAATGGATCATTTTCGACACAAAAATGGGGACAAAACACACACACCTGCAAAGCTGTATACTTCACTGAGGTATAAAAAATAAAATAAAAATATTGTGTGGATACCAAAATATATGTGAAAAAACAAAAGTAATACAATTTATACCTTTGAAAATAAACACAAGTAAAATCTTATTTCACAGATCCAACTTGACTCAGTTCAAGAGATGAATTAGGTGTATATATATTTGTATGAGGGTAGTTTGAAAAGAAAATAATAAAGATTAATAACTCTATAAACTTGGTGACTCCAATACCTGGTATCTACATATAACTTAATTTTTAAAATAACCATAGGATATTCAGAAAATATTCCAATTACTATAAAAATAAAAGTCGCCTCTCCTGTCAAAAAATTCCGCTAAATCTAAGCGCAGTCTTCCAAAACTAGTGATGTCCACTAACAGATTATATTGGAGAATATTTGTCCATAGAGTCACCAAAAGGTTGAAATTGACCTGATGGACACTAATAATAACAACAACTTCTCTATAAAAGCAAAGGTCGCCTCTCCTGTCAAAATAGACGCTAAAACAAAGCCCCTTCTATTCACCATCGCCGCAAACTAGCGGACTAAGGTCGGTCACAAAGCCACAACACCAGCTTTGGCAAACTGAGAAGCGTCTACTTGGAGACCATGGTTTCCGGATAATGGTTCTGTTCAGTCTAGGGCAGGCTTTATACCATGAAATCCATAAGGGATTAAATGAAATATTCACAATCTCAAAAGAGGTGTTGTTTAGCTGGTATAGTGGCTAGCCTAAATAGTTTTAGCGTCTATTTTGCAGGAGAGGCGACCTTTGTTGATGATATATGTACAAAAAAAAAAAAAAGAAACATATACCCAAAAATGAAATGTTACAAATTATATAGATAGTTGGCCATTAAATTTATAAAATTAGTTAGTACAGTAGAACCTCCATGAGAGGACACTCACGCTAGAAGACACCTCCCTGTAAAGGACAGTTTTTATTTGCAAAATTACCATTTTTACTTATTTAGCAACTCTCTGGTAGGAGGACACTTCTCCCTAATGAACACCTTGACTCTGCAATTAGTTTCCTTTACAGGGAGGTTCTACTGTATATTTAAAAATGGATAGAGTGATGGTTGAAGAGATTACAGAAGTTATCTCAACTAGAAGATACTCTACCTGGAGGGGCTTGGAGTTGGGCTGGAGGGACTTGATAACCAGATGTCTGCCCTATAGCGCCACCTCTAAATAGCGCCTTCCTCTCTATAGCGCCTGATTTTAAACATTAAAATGTAAACATTTTACATTAAAAGTGACCTGTCTATAGCACCCCCTCTCTATAGCACCCTATTTTGGTAAGTCCCAAGAGGGGCCGCTATAGACAGGTTTAACTGTATATTCATTTATATATAACATAATTCGTTAATGGCTTTTCTTAATTTATCAAGAAATTGGGTTGGCCAAATATTAGGGAACAGGCTAAGTCAATTAGTTGATTTCTGTTTCACCAGATGGCACTCTGCCTTCTGAAAGCACATGTGCTCCTGGTCAGGATATGCCTTTTTTATTTTTAATATAACATATTATATATATACTAGACGAATGACCCGGCTTTGCCTGAGATATAAGTGCTACCTCGTCCGCTTTTTTCGTTGAATTTTTACGTGAGCTTGATGAAATTGTAGCCACGCTATGTGGATTTAATGTTTCAATATAGATAATGCAAGAGCGCACACATCCGCAGAAACATCTGTTAGTCTGATAAGAAGCAGTGGGAAGTTTTTGTCACCATATTCATATATGCTAAATCCAATAAAATTTTCATTTAGCAAAATTAGGACATAGGTCGCTGCTTCCTCGACGTGACATCACGTTAGACGAGGTTATCACTGATGTAATCAGTAGAATTACATCAGGAGACTGTGAAGGATGGTTTACTCACATTCATGAAAATTGCTTCCCGGCCACACAAGAACACCAGTTTATCCCATAAAATCTGTTTATAATATATTTCGTGGTTATTTGCTTCTATATTAGTGTTTTGAACTTAATGTCAAA